TTTTGGTAGAACTGGGGATTGAATTCAGGCCCTTATGCTTGCCAGGCAAGCACTTATTCTACTGAGCTATCTCCCTGGCCCCTAGAATGCCTTTATTTTAAGAATAGAACTAGCTGGGTATGGTGATACACTCCTATAATCCCAGGACTCTGGGAGGCGGAGATAGGAACTTTGCAAATTCAATCCCAGCTTGGGAAATTGAGACCCTGTCTCAAAATAAAAATGAAAATTAGGGCCGGAGAGATAGCTCTGTGGTCTAAGTGCCTGCCTGGCAAGCACAAGAGTCTGGCTTCAGTCTCTGGAACCATATGCTGTGCCAGCCCACGCCACCAGACACCAAAACCAGGCATGTGTAATCCAGCACTGGAGAGGCTGAGACAGGAGTATCACTATGAGTCTGAACTGCATAGTGAGACCCTATACCAAAAAAATAAATGATTCTTTCAAAAAAAAGAAAGAAAAGAAAAGAAAAGGGCTGGGGCTATAATATGTGTCAGTGCTAAAGCTTCGGACTCATTCTCTAGTCCTGAAAGAAAAAAAAAGCACGAAACAAAAAACCAGAAACTAACATTTGGAGATATCAGTGCTTACCTGCTGCTGATGGAAATGTAAAATAGTGTGACCACTTTGGGAATCAGTCTGGCAGCTCCTCAGGAGAATATCGCATGACTCAACTCCACTGATTCATAGTTCTAAGAGAAATTAAATTTATGTTCACAAAAGAACTTGTACACTAATATTCATAGCAGCATGATTCTTTTTTTTTTTTTTTTTTTCCCCAGAACCAGGGATTGAACTCAGGCCCTTGCGCTTGCCAGGTAAGCGCTTATTCCACTGAGCCATCTCCCCAGCCCCAGCATGATTCTTACTGGCTGAAAAACAGAAACAACACAGTGCCACTAATTTATGCATAAACTGTGGCATATATATACCATGGAATATTATTCAGCCATAAAAGGAACAAAACATTATCACATGGTGCAACAAGAATAGACCTTGAAAACATGCTAAATCAGAAAGGCCAGACACAAAAGTTCAGAAATTATATGATTCCATTTATGTGAAATGCCCAGAACAGGCAAAGCCACAGAGATAGAAAGTAGATTAGTGGTTACCAACGCTTGTGGGAGGGGGAATTTGGGAGTGATTTCTTAATGGGTAATGGGCTATTTATCTGGAGTGATAAAAGTTTTGAAGGGCCAGCCAAATAGCTCAGCAGCTTAAAGCCCATGCTTGGGCAGATGCAGGGCCGGGAGTTGGATCTCCAGGCCTGCAGTGCTGGCCCCACCCCCCCAGGGGTGCACTGAGACAGGTTGGAAGGCTGTAAACAGGAGGATCACCAAAGTCCAACCTATGCAATGAAACCCTGTACACCCTGTTCTAGATACAATAAATTAATAAATTTTAAAAAAAGTTTTTAAAAACATAAAGGTGGTGGTTGTGCAACACTGTGAATGCACTAAATGTCACCTGTGTACCCTTAACAGTGGTTAATTGTATGTTACGTGAATTTCACCTCAACTAAAAAAATAAACTTGAATTTAGAAAAAGAAGGGAAAAACTTCAACATCATCTCCAAGGCCCCCATGGCCCTGGCCCTGAGCACCTACTAGGTGTCACCTTTGGTTTCACTGTAGCCCTGATTTACAGGGACTTTCTGGGGCTCAGACAGGGGAGGTGGCCCATAGGGATGCCAAGGGACAGTGGCAGGATCTCTAAGCCCCCCATCCCAGCAGACTCCTTGGTCCCTGGGTAGGAGCTGGTGAGGTCAGAAACCAGGAACGTCTGTGGGCCACAGGGCAGGGGTTAGTGACTGAGAAGCTTGGAATGTGCTGCCTCTGAAAGGGCCTCTTGTGGCTCCACCAACCGTTAGAGCAGAAAGGGACTTTCAGAATTACATACACACATGCACGCAAACACAAAATTTATTCATATGTGACTTTATCTTCACTGTCAAAATCAATCTCTCTCTCTCTCTCTCTCTCTCTCTCTCTCTCTCTCTCTCTCTCTCTTTCTTTGTTGCAGGCTGGCCTCAAACTGATGGCAATCCTCCTGCCTCAGCTTCCTGAGTGCTAGGATTACAGACATGCACAACCATGTCCAGCTCACTGTCAAATTCTTACTACAGACTATGCTAAGCATGTGACATTTTTATTTTGTCTTAATTTCTATCCTTGTCATTATGTCTCCATTTTAATGACGAGCAAACAGCTTTAGAAGTGGACAGCCTAACCAGAATTCAAACCCAGAATCAGACTTGTTTAAAAAGTCTCATAGTTAAACTTTCTCTCCTCTTTCCTTTCCCCTCTCCTCTCTTCTCCCTTCTCCCCTCCTCTCCCATCTCCCCCCTCCCTCTTCCTCTTCCTCTCCTTCTCCCTCTCCCTTCCTCCTTCCTTCTTAAAACACACACACCCTTTATATGTCTCATTTGTTAAACTGCAGTGGTTTGTTTTCTTTTTAAAGGAAGCACTGAGTAGAACCAGGGCGAGGAAAAGGCGCTAGGCTAGCAATCACCTTGTGCATACTTGGAACTTTACAACTTACAACGCACTTTCACATTTGTGATCTCATTTGATCTTCCAGCAGCTTTCCTTATGAAGTCAACAGGGGGCTCAATTGGGACTGGGGCTCCAGGTAGATGAGCTGTCCTAGCTCACACAGACAGAAAATGCTAGCTGTGGCACTAGAATCCTCTGTTTCCATGGAAAGCAGCCCAGGACACACACATCCCCAGGACAGAACTGGAGCTGATCAGCTGAAGGTGCTGGTGGAAGAGCAACAGAGTCCATCTCTCCTGCTGTGTGACTCTAGCAGCTGCTTTTTCTGGGCCTCAGTTTTCTCCTGCATAAAATTGGAGGAAGCCGAGGAGTTTGGGAAGTCCTCTCCCCAGTGACATGGAGAGCCTTCTATGAAGCTGTGAGGAGTTTGGAAAATCTTGGCTGAGCCTGAGTTTGGAACTTTAGTCCTGAGTCAATCACCTTTTATAGCCACTCATTTATTGACCTTGGACAATGTATTTCAACAACTCCCAGCCTCAGTTTCCCCATCTGTAAAGTGGGGAAGATAATGATACCCACCTCTCTAACATCTTTCTTTTGTATAGACTTTTGACACACTCTCCAAACAAGGATAGTGACGCATAGTCACACAGTGCTAGAAGTCAAGAAAGCCGATGTTTATCACGCTTTGGGACTTCTGTGTCTCCACACAGGCTGTCACTGTCTGTAGGCTCTGAACGAAAACAGATTATCCTGAGTGGCACAACTGTATTGGAAGCCTGTGGCCAGTTCAAAGCATCGCCGGTTTACTTTTTGCTTCCCCCCCACCACATCCACTCAAAAGCAATATCACCTTGTTTATTTTAAGTATTTGAAGGACTAGGGAGTAGCTCAGTGGTATAGGCACCAGCCTGGCAAACACATGGTCCTGAATTCAATCCCCAGTACAAGAAAAAAAAAAAAAAAAAGCTAATGTAAGTATTTTAAAAACCAACATTTCTTGGAGGGAATATAAATTAATACAACCACTATGGAGATCAATGTGACAATTCCTCAAAAAACTAAAACTAGGACAAGGGCTATAGCTCAGTGGCACAGCAATTACCTGAAAAACACAAGGTCCTGAGTTTGATTCCTAGTAAAAACAAACAAACTAAAATTAGAAATTCCATTTGATGAAGCTATTCCCCACCTAGGTATCTTCCTGAAAGAGTTGAAGACATCATATTACAGTGATACATCCATACCCATGTTTATAACAGCACAATTCATAATACCTAAATCTTGGAAGCACCCTACATGTCCATCAACAGGAATGGATAAATAAAACATGGTATTTACACACAATGGAGTACTACTCTTTGCCAAAAAAGGATAAACTTGAGTTATTTTGGGGAAAATGGATGCAGACATACAGCTTAAGTATTCCATGGTTTTTCTTGTATGAGAAATCCAAATTATAAATAAAAAGAAAAATAAAAGATACATAATAAGAAATAGCCAGGGACTGGGGAGATAACTCAGTAGAATAAGCGCTTCCTTGGCAAGTGCAAGGGCCTGAGTTCAATCCCCGATTTCACACACAAAAAAAAAAAAGAAAAGAAAGAAATAGCCAGGTGTAGTGGTGTACGCCAGTAATCCCAGTACTCAGGGGGCTGAGGCAGGAGGACCACCATGAGTTCTAGGACAGCCTGGGCTATATTATGAGTTCAAGACCAGCCTGAGCTACAGGACCAGACCTTATCTTAAAAAAAAAAAAAAAGAAAAAGAAAAAGAAAGAAAGAAAGTACAGACACATTCTTCTCAAAGGGAAAGGGGATCAAGAGATGGAGGGAGAGGGGACAGGGGCTAAAGACAAAGGATGAAAAAAGAATTAAGTGATAATAGGTAAAGGTACGAGCTCCACACATGGAATGTAAACATTATATACCACAAAAGTGTACTAATAAAAAAATAAAATTATGATATTTTGTGTCGTTGATTTGTCATTTATTCACCTTTTAGTACAACTGAAGTCTTAAAACAGTGCTGGTGGAGGAGCTTCAGGTCACACTGTGAAGCCTTGAATGGCAGGTGGGATGGTTCTTGACACTGGAAAAAACTATCCAGTAAATAATAATAATATGCTAATAAAAACCACACTTATAATTCACATCGTAGTAGTTTTCAGACTGCTTTCACAGTCCTGCTCCTTTCCCCCACCCCCAACCCCCGCGCGAGCGGCAAGGTAGTTATGGGATTAAAGACAGGGCAGCGCTCGCGGCTGGGCGCGGCTCTGGGCAGGTGCGTAAATCCGCAGGGGAATCCTGGGCTCCACCTGGGCGCGCCAAGGAAATTGCACCATGTATGGGCAGCTACGTCAGAGGGGGCAGGCCCGTCACAGTAGCTGGGGGACGCCAAGCCTGCCCATTATCCCCAAGAAAAGGAGGCTGCCCACAGTAGGAGGGCTCGAAAAGTTCCGAGCCGGCTGGCGAAAGGCGGCGCGCCTGGAGAGGTGGGGCCCCGAGGTGACCGCGCTGCTCCGAAACGCCTCCACCCCCCGCGGTCGAAGTGGTTCAGCCCGTGAATTTTTCATTCATAAAAAGAAAAGACTGCAACGCGGGAGTGAGTCAGACCCCGGCTGCCGACAAGGACCCCATAGAGCAGCCAGCCCAGGGCATGTACCGAGACTTTGGGGAACCCGGACCGAGCTCCGGGGCGGGCAGTGCGTACGGCGGACCGGCGCAGCCCCCCGTCTCAGCGCAGGCGGCCGCCCAGCAGGTGAGACAGGCCGGATCCAGGGGTGCCCGCATGGACAGAGCTTGGGACGCCAGGGTCGGCTGAGGTGCGCTCTGGATGAGGGCCGGGAACAGGAGTAGGGACTTGGTTTCGGACTCGGGCGAGGATTCTGCGGATTCTCCATTGTCCAGGGGTCGGTGTCCCTCCGCCGCAGGACCCAGGGGAACGCGCGCTGTGAGCGCATCGAAGATCTACTAACGCGCCTCTCGCATTCCCTTTCTCCCTCGCTGTCTGCTGTCTCTCTTTCTGTCTCCGTTATCGTTTTCTCTTTCCTCCTGTCCGCTGCTAAATTCTGTGTCCCACCTCCTCTGGCCAGTTCTCCATCCCGGACTAAATTCCTAGGATCTGTTCTATGACAGAGACATCCCGACACAGAAGGGAAACGGGATTTCATGAGAGACCACCCTGGACAGAGTGGGAATCCTCGGCAGTCTGTGATTGTCCGTGTGTGTCTATTTGTCCGTCTGTCTCTGCCCCATCGCCAAGAATCTATTGCATTCTTTGCGCAGTGGACCCTGATAGGTTCCAGGAGACTGGTTCCTGACTCTAATGCGGGCTAGGGCAAATAGAGACCTCGACGTGCCAGGGGGTACGTAGAGTCACTCAGCCCGAATGTGTGTCCCCCCCCCCCCGCCCACTCCTGCCTCTCCGACACCAAACAACGCCCACTGCTGGCTGAGGGGACCTGCGAGGCTGCAGGTGCCCGTTTCCTGTCGAGGGGCTGTGAGCACGTGTCGCAGGGGAGGGAAGGAGCGGCGTCTGTTCCGCAGAGTCACAGTGGCCGAGTCACGGTGGCTGAGTCACCCCGGGCGCCCCTCCCTTCCTGGCCCGGAGTGCCTGGTCTCGGACAACTTCGGGAGCTGGAGAAGCTGCCGGCTGTGCCTCGGGCCCGGAACTGGGGTCACTGGGTCGTCGCGGGGCTCACAGCACTGGGCCAGGGCTTGCCTGGGCTTGGCCGGCACTTCCTGGATGGCTGAGCCCCACATCCAGAACCCAGCCGCAGGGCTTGAACCCAGATCTCTTCCCAGAACACTGAACCCACATCCCAACACATTGCTCAAATTTCTGGCTGAAAGAAAACGATCACCTGGTAATGGCTTCAGCGCTAACAGCGCTAAGCAACCATCAGCTCTTCCCCTCATTTGCCATATTTCACGGACTCTAAGACCTACAGATTTTAAAACTCGCTATTATTTTTGGAACCACATTTTTTTTAAAGTTACCAATTGAACTATGATTTCAGAGCTATTAAAGCTCTATTTGTTAGAACCAATAAAATGATGTAATCCTCACTTGTGATATTAAAAATTAGGAAATTGAGGCAAACTGGGTTAAATAACTTGCTTAGCTACTAATTGGCTGAGCTGAGATTACAAGTGGGACAGGCTGAGTTCACAGCAGCAGCTCTTGCTCATCATAGCCCCTCTGCGTTGGGCACACACCATTTTCCTGTACTTGTGTCTCATAGCCACATTGAGAGCTACTGGTAGGTGCTGTAATTATCCTCTGTGTGGATGGGTGAAGGAATAGGTAAAAGCACAGCCACTTGGGATCAAAGCCCATTTCCTACTTTTTGTCCATGTCTGCAGACAACTGTATTCTTGCCTGAAAATGAAGATACTGTTGTTCCAGCCAGATGAGTCAATGTTTGTAAGGTAATTAGAACAGTCACCAGACAGTTCACGCTTGATAAGAGTTAGCTGTGATGGGGAAACAAGACACAGACAGGTGATGTAACCTGCCCAAAGTTACACAGCTCGTAATCTGCCACCAAGTCAATTCCTCTGACAGCCAAGTTGTATTTTTTCTGATTTCCCTGAGCCAACATCTGCATGGAGAGTGGACAACGGTATGGTAGAATTTGGAAGCCTCTCAATGCATATGGACCTCATCCCTCACCTTTCCTTTCTTATCCCTTAGAAGTTCCACCTTGTGCCAAGCATCAATGCTGTGAGTGGCAGCCAGGAATTGCAGTGGATGGTGCAGCCTCATTTCCTGGGGCCAAGCAGCTACCCCAGGCCTCTGGCTTACCCAGAGTACAGTCCTTTGCAGCCCCGGCCAGGAGTCATTAGGGCCCTGGGGCCCCCTCCAGGGGTGCGTCGAAGACCTTGTGAACAGGTAAGCAACAGAAGTGTCGCACCAGTGCTGGCTGCCCACAGGGGTGCTAGTGTGCCAGACAAGCTTTCACTGGACAGTAGAGACTTACAAGGGAGAAGGTAGGATCTTTGTGAGTATTGCACGAGGCAGAAAGTCATAGGATTTATCCCCAGGAAGGCCCAGAGGGCAGAGAGGTCATTCTTGGATCAAGAAAAGCTTCCTGGCCAAGATGACATGTAACCTAGAAGGTGGGTGGCATTTGCATAGGTACAGGTGAAGGAAAGGCCTTTCCAGGGAGAGTAAGAGCAGGAGCAAGCATTGAGGTAGAGGGGAGAGAATGTAAGGTATGCATGTGGTCAAGTGCCAGGGTTTCCACCTGCTGATGTGTGTGGTGGGTGTGGACTTCCACTGTCACTAGCTGGGGAGAAAACAGGAACATAAGGGTTCCCTTTAGCTATTCTCTGGGTCTCTGTTTCCTTATCTCATTTAGTTCTCACAAAAACCCTCTAGGGGATACACTTTGGCTTTTTTCATCATCCAGCTGAGGAAACGAAGGCACAGAGAAATAGTCACTTGCCTAGGATCATACAAGACAGGACTGGCCTTGGCCTCCAGGTCCACCCATCTCTAAAGTCAGATCCTGAGCATGGAGGAGTTAACCGAAGGCTCCTGGCAGAAGGAGCTGAGAACTCCTATCTCCTCCAAATAAATGAGTAAGAGATGGAGGGTCTGTGAGGGAGCAAGCGGTTCCTCTTTCCTCTCCTTTGGTGAGGGTAGTATATGAGACTATAGTAAGATGAAGTTTCCATATTAAAAGCTTGCTCTGTGTTGGGCACGGTGGTTCATGCCTGTAACTCCAGCCCTTGGAAGGTTCAGGCAGGAAGTTTGAAGAGTTAGAGACTATCCTGGGCTGTATAGCTATGTAACGAATTCGAAACCATTTTGGGACATAATGAGACCTTATTTAAAATTTGAAAAAGATAAAAAGCTTGTTCTTAAGACTGGGTAGAGGATGGGGGGGTGGAACTGGGGAGCGTGGGAGAGATGTGAGATCTGCTAGGGTCTGATGTCCCAGCAACAGAATGCCTAGCTTTTGTGAGCAACTGGGACTGAGATGTGAGGAGCGGCAGGCCAGTGGTAACCCCTCTACACCACACTTCTTCCTTCAGCCTTGTCCTGAGTATGGCACTTTGATCCTGGGTACTACCAGGTTGGGACTAAGCTGTCAATGGGGTTCCTGCAGGTAGAGGTAGGCTCCCTCAGCTGCCTCTCCTTCAATGGAAAAAGTAACTGGATGGATATTAACTCCTACTCTGAACAAGATACTCATCCTCCTTGGGCTTCATTTCCTTACAGAGGAAAGTCGATGAAAATCTGTGTAAGAGCTAGGAATGTAGCTCAGTGGTAGCTCAGTCAACACAGCAGGAAAAAAGGTTTAGAAGCAGCTATGTGTAGTGCCTATCTGGCACATAATAGGCTGCAATAAGTTGCAACTTATTCAGCAGCATTCATGAGCTCCTCTTATAGTTTATAGTTCCTGGGGTAAGAGATTTAGTCTTCCAGAGATAAAGAAGGATGAGAGTCCTGTGGAAAAGGATGACCCAGTCCCAGGGACTCAGAGGAGGAAAGACTACTCCTAGTTGGTAGAGTGGTGCACTTCCTGGCAGAAGGAGCTGGGAATTCTTATCTCTTCCAAATAAATGAGTAAGAGATGGAGGGTCTGTGAGGTAGCAGTTCTTCTTTCCTTTGGTCTGGGTAGGCTGGTATATGAGACTATGGTGGGATGAAATTTTCAGGAGGTGGGAGTGTCTTACCTGAATCCTAGGTTGGATTGGGAGGGGGCGTTATGGGAGATTAATAGGGGCTAAAGCCAAGGGAGCGAGAGACATAGCTCAGCAGCACAGTGCATGCCTAGCAAGCTGGAGGTCCAGTTTGATTCCTGGTACCTAGTGGGGGTGCAGGGGAAGGACTGCTTGAGTGCTGAGAACCAGTTGGTGTGTAGTGGTCTCTAAATTACAGGTTCAGCCCACCCCCAGCCGGCATTGCCAGGGTTCTACTAAGTCCTACCATTGGGTCCAGTGTGGTAAGCTCTGGGGAGCCAGTGACCTGGGGTTCACCTCACTGCTGGCCCCATCCCCACCCCTCAGATCAGCCCAGAGGAGGAGGAGCGCCGTAGAGTGAGGCGTGAGCGGAACAAATTGGCTGCAGCCAAGTGCAGGAACCGCAGGAAGGAACTGACAGACTTCCTGCAGGCTGTGAGTACTGGTTCTGGCCCACTGGGCCTAGGAGGGACCCCAGATCCCGCAGGGCCCCAGTCTATTAATCCCCCACACCCCGCCCTCATTCTGTGTCTGAAGGGGTGCAGTTCTGGGTAAAGGAAAATACAATTAAAAATTAGTTGTAATGCACTAGCAGCAGAGAGTAGTAGCTAAGACTAGCTGCCAATCTCCTTCCAGTTTGCCCAGGGCCTAATGGGAGTCAGGCTTATTTTCTCCCATGGGCTCCTGGGAGTTGCAGTCCAGACAGGCTGGAAACCCCACCCTCAGCCCCCACTCCCAGGCCTTTGGTTCTTTAGCCCTCATCTTCCCGACTCTTTCCTTCACCCTCTGTAGGAGACTGACAAGCTGGAGGATGAGAAATCCGGGCTGCAGCGAGAGATAGAAGAGCTGCAGAAGCAGAAAGAGCGCCTGGAGCTGGTGTTAGAAGCCCACCGTCCCATCTGCAAAATCCCAGAAGTGGACAAGGAGGACAGGGATCCAGGTGTTGCCAGCAGTACAAGTGGTACCAGCAGCCCACCAGCCCCCTGCCGCCCTGTACCTTGTATCTCCCTTTCCCCAGTGCCTGTGCTTGAACCCGAGGCATTGCACACACCAACACTCATGACCACACCCTCTCTGACTCCCTTTACACCTAGTCTGGTCTTCACCTATCCCAGCACTCCTGAACCCTGTGCCTCAGCTCATCGAAAGAGCAGCAGCAGCAGTGGGGACCCATCTTCAGATCCTCTAGGCTCCCCAACCCTCCTTGCTTTGTGAGACACCCAGCCCCACCCCTGCAGACACTACCATAGCCAACATTTCCCTTTCCCACACTGGTCCAGCAGGCCTGGATCACATTCCATACACAATGCCAGTAGTTTCTTCTGCATCCCTCCTGACGAGATTGAGCATATTTTGCTTTTCAGTAGAGGCAGTTTGGAGTACTACAGCTGCTCACTGTTTCTCTAGAGCTGGCCTCTCTATTCCAATTTGCACTAAATCAGACACAGGATATTTCCCATTTGTGCCAGAGAAATGCTGGCAAACCAAAAGACTAAGACTATTCCGTTGTAGACCACTCCCAAAACCCACCGCCCTCTTCTTTAGATACACCCAAACCCACCCTGACAATGCCATTTTACAGGCACTAACTAGAACACTAAGTCACCCAGCCTCACTGCCAGCAGCACCAGGTGATTGGACTAGGGCATTCTGCAGGCCCCTCCTGACTGGCACAGCTCAGGAGGTGCCAGAGGGTTCTGTGATGAGCTAACTTGCAGCCCCCAGCTCTGAGAAGCCTCTAGCTCCAGGAAATCCAAGCCCCAACAAGAGGGGGCAGCTGCTATTTATTTTCCTAGAGAGAATATTTTTATACAGTCCTTCCAAAATGGAATAAAAGTCTTGAAGCTCTGGCCTGGATGTTTGGTTGGATGCAGAGGCTAAAGGGAGGTAATTTGCAGCCTGAAGCTCTAGATTCGAGCTCAGTTCCTGACTCACTGTGTAAGCTCGGACAAATTCTTTAATATTTTTTGGACCTCAACTGTCTTATCTGGCAAATGGGGCTACACCTGATGTCACATCTATAGGATGCAGTGTACTGGAGGGAGCTAGCATATCATCCTTTGGGGACCCGCAGTGCTCTTGCTTGGGCCATAGGGGGCGTCAGTATGTCCCCTTCCACCTCCGGAGAAGGGCCCTTGGGTTCTAGACCCCCGACACCTGCTTCCTGCCCCATTGTCTCGGACAGGAAGGAGGCGGGGAGGGAGCCGGAGCCACTTTAGGGCTGCCCCGGCGCCCGACTGGGGAAGTCCACCATTCCGCATCCCACCCCAGCCTCGAGATAATGGGAGAGTAAGCCACCTTAGTTTGGCAGTCCTTCGGATAAGAGCACTACCCCATGTCAGCGTTCCCGCCCTCATTCTAACCCTGGCGATTCCCAAACAGACGCTTCCAAGGCTTCGGGCTCCGCTTCCGTCCCGGTTTATTAGTCTCCACACAACCCCCAGCAAGTCCCTCCACTCCAGTCCCCCTGCTCCCCCGCCAGCGAGATCGAGGGGCCCTCCTTAGTATCAGGGTTTCTCCATGGCAGCGGCGCCTGGTACGCAGCCAGGACAGTGCCCAGGTCCCGAGGTTCACAGCAGTCCCTACGTTCAGGGACCAATCCCGGCGGGCGTCGGCGTAGAAGCAGCGCCTTCAGTCCTCGGGTGAACAGGCTAGGGGCAACTGATCAGGGCTGCCCACACTACCGGTGCTGGAGCTTCCGTCGCCTAGGTCTCGGGGTCCACAGGGAGGCAGAGCAAGCTCAGGTGTGGGCCCGGCACCTGAGCCCCCCGCGCCTGCGGGACCGCTGCGGGGACCCCACTCCTCGCCCAGCGCCAGGCAGAGCTCCTTAAGGGCCAGGTTCTCCCGCAGCAGCTCCTCCTGGCGGCCCTCCAGCTCGGCCAGCTTCTGCCAACAGCCGCCCAGATCCTCGCGCACAGCCCTGGATGCTTGGGTCCCGAAAAGCTGCCACTGGCGCGCCGCCCGCCGCCCGCGCTGACGCTCCGAGTCCAGGAAGCAGCAGAGATCGCGCAGCTCGCGGTTCTCGGCCTGCAGGCGCCGGTTGAGCTGCTTGAGCTCACGGATCTCGCCCAGGTGACCCTGCAGCTGGCGATTCACCTCCTGCATGAGCCGGCCGCGCTGCACCAGTGCGGCCAGGCGCGCCGCCTCCTCTCGCCTCAGGCGCCGCACCAGCTCCTCCTTGCCCAGCGCCGCCATCTCCTCATCCGTCAGCTCCTCCAGGCCCCCTGCTTCGGCCTCCATGGCTGCTCGGGCCGCTGGACCATCGCCTGCTCGCAGCGACGGTCCAGAAGCCCACGTCCGGCTCCGAACACCTTTGGCTCGGGCTCCGGCTCAGCAGGCTGCAGACACTGGCACCGGTAGCGTAGGCTGCAGCAGCCACCCGGGGGTGGGCACGCGGCAGGACGCGCGCTGGGGCGGGGCTATATGACGTTATGGAAGAACAACCAATCCAGAAAGCTTTCCGGAAAGGGCGGAGCCTGGGTGCAAAAAGCTAGTTCCCGGCGCATTCCAGACTGAGGAGTTACGGCTCAGGCCCGTTGGAATCCCGACATCCCTTCCCTCTTTGCTGGTCTCCACCCGACGTGGAGAAAAGTTGTGAATCTCCCTAGTGCGAACCTAGGCTTCTCTGCTCCTTCAAGATTTGGGCGTCCTCCTTGTTTCATCACCGTTAGGAAGGAACCCAGGCAGGTTGTTGCCCATCCCTAAATCGAGGAGTCCCGATTCATTAAGCATCACTTCCAACCAATTACTCAGAATGCGGACTCCGGGGCTGGAGAGATGGCTCAGTGGTCTAAAGCACCTACTTGAAACAAGCTTGGCAAAGCACAGGGACCGCGGTTCGATCCCCAGCACCACATGCCAGCCAGACCCGTCCCCTGGTGGGCTGAGCTGGCCACACACACACACAATAAATAAATGTAATAAATAAAAATAAATAAATATTAAAAAAAAAATGCGGACTCCAAACGTCCTAGGCCCATTGTTAGCCTGCTCTCTACCCGGGAGTTTTTCCTGCATTAAAGTAGGGGTGGAGATCCAAAAGATTCGTTTGTTCAATAAACTTTTATTTTGTATAAGACCCATGCAGAAATACACTTGACCAAAATACTGAGCTTGACCTCATAAAGTCACAGTCTGGCAGAGAAAATAGGCACGTGTGGGAGGAGAATTGGGGATGTACCTCAGTGATAGAGCATTTGCTTAGCACGAGCAAAGCCCTTGTTCACTGCAGCACCAAAAGAAAACAAGAGAACAGGAATACAGTCTCGGGGATCCCAACAATATTTCCTTATTTATTTATTTATTGTGTGTGTGTGTGTGTGTGTGTGTGTGGCCAGCTCAGCCCACCAGGGGGCGGGGCTGGCTGGCATGTGGTGCTGGGGATTGAACCGCGGTCGCTGTGCTTTTGCTTAGCTTAGCTTGTTCTAAGTAGGTGCTTTAGACCACTGAGCCATCTCACCAGCCCCCCCCCCAACAATATTTCCTAAAAGAGGTGTGTGGTGGATTGACAACTGGTGGTCAACTTGTTTGTTTGTTGTTTTTTTTGCGGTACCAGGGATTGAACTCAGAACCTTGTGCTTGCCGGGCAGGCGCTTATCCTACTGAGCTATCTCCCCAGCCCCAGGCGGTCAACTTGTTACACTCAGCTGACCTGAACTAACATAATGTTGGGTGTGGGAGGCCCACCTGAAGATTGTTGCCAACAGCATGGCAGGCAGGATTAGAGAAGCTATTGGAAAGTGGTTAGAGAAGTTGTGTGGAGAAGCTGTTGGGAAGCTGTTGGAAGCAGCTGGTTCTCATGGGCTATTCTACTGGAGGACTTGTTATGCTGGCTTTCCTGATGAATTTGGCTGTCTGGACCTCCCTGAGGCTGTGAATGGGTACAGTTCACTTTGGGAGAGCTCTGGTCCTCATTTTGAGCATCACTTCCTGGCTCTGGAAGGGAAGAGGGTGCACAGCTCAGTCTCTTGGAGAAGTTTGTCACATCGATTTTTCTGATGGGAACTCAGCTTTCTTCATCACTGGAGGAGCTCAGGACTTCACTGTTGATGAGGATTGCTATGGTGCTTATCAGGGGAGCTCTGGTTGTTACCTTGTGTGTTGCTTCCCGGCTCCACTTCAAATGCCTCAGCCTGCTAGTACAGATCTTTCATCCCACTGGTACAGACTTTCTAGCTTCCACCACTGACCTTTGGGTCTTCCCAGCACAGATCCATGAAGTGGGCCTGCATGAGACATTATCGTGGGTGGGCCCTAGGCCTCCAATTGGACTTGTGGGAGGCATTGTTACAGGTTCTAGGTCTTCAGCTGGATTCATGCAGGATATTAGGATCCAGGCCCTCAGCTGGGTTCTTTGGTCTTTAGTATATGGACAGATTTCCTGCACTCTTCATATGAGTCTTTGGGGGAGGTAACTACTATAAAATAATCTTATAAAATGTGTCCTGTATTGTTCCCCTTGCAAAACCCAAACTATGACAAGGTGATACCAAAGAAACCCTGAAAGATGCATAGGGCTTTGCCACATAAAGAGAGAGCTATGCCAGGGAGAGACAATAGTGTGGCGAAAAACACTGATGCCAGAAAAAGCCGAGCTACTTTAGAAATAATGAGGGTATCTTGATTCCTTTTGAGAAGCAGATGTGGGGCCGGTGATATAGTCAATGGCATAAGTGCATAAGTGCTCACCTGGCCAGCACAAGGTCCCAAGTTTGATTCCTGTTACAAGACAGGGAAAGAGTGAGCTTTCAGGGTGGATGGAAGTTAGAATTGTGTGTGTGTGTGTGTGTGTGTGTGTGTGTGTGTGTGTGAATTTAGGGCAGGGTGTACAGGGTCTCACTACTAGATAGGACTCATACTGATACTCCTGTTTTCAGCCTACCAAACCCTGGGATTACAGGCATGCACCACCTCACCCAGTCTCAATTGCTGTTTCAGCACGCCCCAGGGGCAGGGCTGGCACAGCACACAAACCCAGTTGGTGTGCCAAAGCAGAGCAGGCGCTTAAATCCACTGAACTAACTGGCTGGCCCTGAAGCTAGAATTTTAAGAGCTTTCAATACTACACTGGAGTGTTTCCAAAGGCCAGTAAGAATTTTAAACATGGGAGTAACATATTTAAATATGCATTTAAAAAAGATTGTTCAGCTGTTCTGTGTGGGATGGGCCCTGTAGGGAAAGGATGTAAACTAGGAGATTAGTAACACTGTTGGATGAGCAAGAAGAGCTATGCATTAGACTAGGTTGAGACTGCAACAGTGGGAGTGGAGACAACGAAACAAGATACTACAGATATTTAGGCAACAAATCAGCCGAACTGAAAGTGGGGAGAGAGGAAATCTGGGCGATAGCCCAGGTTTCTGCTGTGAGAACTGGGTGGATGTTGGGGCTGTAACTGCAATAGGGATGCAAAAAAAAACGAGTGGGAAGAATGAGAGGTCTGTCTAGCAGGTGTTGAAAGTTCAAAGGGTTTATGGGAAGACCATGTGAGTGTGTACAGACTTGGCCCATAGGCAGTCAGGCAGGTGAGGGACAGAATAAGAGATATCATTAACTTGTGTGAGCAGAGTGTGTGGTTAAAACCGTGTGGGAACAGGTGCCCATTGCCCAAGAGAGGGTCTCCGACACATCTAGGGACACTGGGGCCCCTAGAAAAAGCCTTTAGAAGTAGAACCCACACTCATTTTGCAGAGAGAACATTTTTTTTTATTTATTTGAGAGAGAGAGAGAGAGAGAGAGAGAGAGAGAGAGAGAGAGAGAGAGAGAGGTGTGTGTGGCCAGCTCAGCCCACCAGGGGGCGGGCTGGCATGTGG